ATTTATTTTTTCTTCAAATGTTACCTTTTTACTTTATCTTTATCTTTCTCCTTTCTTCACCCGAATTTACTCCATTTACAATTATTTATTATTTATATATTACAATTTACGATTAAGTAACACCGTAATTTTTTTCAATATTGTATGTATATTTTATTTAAATTTTTAAGTAGAAAAGTGTATATGATAAGAAAATAAAAATTTCATATTTAATTTAAATTAAAGCATTTCATAAACAATTTATTTTAATTGCTTTTATTTTCTGACATTAACATTTTAAAATGAGTAATTTGTTAGGAGAAGAAAAGTGAAAAATAGTAATCTTTCACAAGAAAATCAATGTTAAATAAATTCTAAATTTATAAATTTCACTTCTTTAAATTTTTTATGAATAATTTATTTATTTTTCTTTTAAAGTGAGTTGTTTTAAAAGAGCTAAATCTAAAATTCAAGAAATTTTCCAAACACTCAAATCTTAACTACATTTTTATATACCCATATTTTGAAGGATACAAGTTAGAAACTTTAGACGTGAAATTGTACATTTTCTCCCAAGTTAATCGTTATATGTTCTTCTACCTTTGAGTATTATGTTAGGATAATAGGATGGACTCTAGGTCCAAACGAAAGAAGATTAAATGGTTAAAAGATTACGAGGAATTTAGAATAGGATGGACTGTATGTGGTTTTATTTTCCCTAAATTAGGATGATGATACTTGAATGATATTTTTAGTAGTTATTAGATTATGAATTTGCGTTTCCTTAGCCTATAAGCATTAAAGCTTTCTGTAACATTTATGGTAGAATTTTAGGAGTAGTGATAGAATAGTTTTTTTTTTTTCGTATCATATTATTAAGCATTTTAATGTTCGCTTGTTTTTGGGTGTAGTTGGTTTTATCGAATCAAACCATCAGTGACCCACGAACCGTTCAAGCCTAGGGTACCTAGTAATGAGAGAATTTTGAGTGAGTTCAACAACTCCAACAGTTCTACTAACCCAACTCAGCTTAGATGGAAGCCCATGGATGCACCCGATTCACCGACGGATTTCATTGATGGGTTGTCCACCGTTTGTGGTTCTGGAAGCTCCTTCATGCGCCATGGATATGCTATTCACATGTAATCAATTGGTATCCTTTGATTAACTAGTATTCCTGTTTATCTAATGGGTGTGTGCCAGTCAATTCTTTTTCTTCTGTCGTTGACTTTTCTGGTTGGCTAGGTTTCCTAATCAGAATTGCATAATTTGTGTGCTTAAGTCTCTTCAATTATAACATGCCGTTGTTTGATGACTAAGAATTGAAATATTATATTTTTAGTTGATGCTAGAGGTAGTGGTAGTTGACATTTGTTAGTTGGTTAGTTTGTTGATTGTTATTACTTCAATAAGCTCTATAAATAGAGTATGGATCATACTCATTTATATCTTTTCATTTCAATCAGCACATTGAGATACTTTTATGTAACACCTTTCATGTTCTCTGAGCGCTATGATTTTTGTCTCACCAATTTGGGATCATAAGTATTTCCTTTCAAAATTCTGATAGTTGAGGTTTCAGATATATGATATCACATCTAACATTTACATGTGAATTAGTATTGCTGATAACTGTTTTGTCCCAGAGTCTGGATTTGGGTGTGCCTTCTAACCACACTTGTAGGGGGTTGAGACTCCAAATGCTGCAGCAAAAGTAGGGTGGTATAGCTGTAAAGACACTCTTGACTCTCGGTTGGTGTTTGCATTAGGAGTACATGAAGGTAGCGAAGATCTGCAACTAGGTGACTAAATCCTTTTTTTTTCAGGGTTAGGCATGGTTGCTTGGAGAGCAATCCATTCAAGATATAGTTCCCCTGCTATGTGGGATTAAATTTCCCTTTTTAGGGGCCAACTGATTGGCTAATTTCAAGAAGGGATGTTATCCCACTTTCCTCATTCAATAATAGGAGATGCTGTTGAATTATTAGGCTCCTGTAAGCTGTGCCAGCATCATAGTGGGTGGGGTATGGGTCTCACAGTGATCCTGTGCTACTTGTGTTGATTGGTGGGCTGGGTTGAGGGGTCGGGAATGGAGATATTAGATCTTAGTCTGAGTTAAGGTAGTGATTAACACACTGAACAAAACGGAATAGAACAGTCTGTTGGTTTTAATCATTGTTCTCCTTGTTTCGACATTTTTAACCTTTTGTTTTTATTCTCTTTGTAAAATACACCAACATAGAACAAAACTCATATAGGCATAATTGCGATTTTTGCCACCCATATTTCACAATATTGTGAATTTGGCCACCCAACTTTTGAAACATCACATTTTGTTACTTAACTTTTAAAATTATACACATTTTGTTGGTTGACTTACATTATTTGTTCACTATTGATGTAACATTGATTGTCGATGTGACATAGTTTACTATATTATCTTTTGTATGCTACATCAACAATATACATTGGCAGTTAACATGTTATGTTAGCAATCATTATGCACATCATCTGTCAACTAACAGCATTAGTCGAGTTGCAAAAATTCGTGAAATCGTGAAACAAGGGTGACAAAAAGTGCAATTAAACCACACATTTTATTTCTTCCTATTCTAATCTGTCTGCTACCAAACACTATCTAAGAAGAATCAAGTATTGTTTCATCTAATCAATTTGTGCACTGTGCAAACTAATTTATTTATGATATGCTATTTTATCTTTGCCCCGAGTAATGCTACCATGGACTGCTGCCTTAAATACACCTCTACCCATTGATTTTTCTTTACTTTTGGTTGCCTATGCATAACAATACTAATGTTGGGTATGTCATAGATATTGATGCTAAACTGCCAGATTTGGTATGATAAATTTAAATTTTGAAGGTAACATTAGCACTTGAATAAATGGGAAAATGTTATATCACTTATAGGTACAATGCCAACAAACCAATGGACAACTGTGCCTTTTGCAATGCCGATGGTGACTTCTTGATAGTTCCCCAACAAGGAAGTAAGTCAATATGACAATTTCCTTGATTGTTCAATGTTAACTAAGAAAGTTGTGTTTGCGGTTAATTAATTGTGCTTATGTGCATATAATTATTTCTGGACCCGTATAAATTCCTTGTTGCTCTGTGCTCAATGAACTTAGGGTGATTCCTTTTGCACAAAGAAAATAGTCTGTACACTCTAGAGTTGAATATAAAAGAAATTTCCTAATTGAAGGATGCATTTGAATAGTAAATATTGTTTTCTTAAAGCGCTGGTGCATTAGTATTCTGAACGGATATTTATGGTTTATATTTTTCCATGATTTCTTTTGTTGGAATTGTCTTTGATTCTTTGTGTAGAATTATATTATTAGAGGGACAAACAGTTGTCCCCATGTTCTTGAATTCTTCCATGCATGAATTTCTGCGTTGGCGTTGTAGCTAAATAAAGTTTCATAGCACTTAAGAGCATGCTCCGATCCTTCCTGAGTATCACAGCTTTTCAAGAGTATCCCTTTCCCTTATATTTATTTTTTTCATACTGTCTGCTGGATTTGTAGGACTCTTCATCACTACTGAATGTGGAAAGTTGAAAGTTTCCCCGGGTGAAATTGCTATACTACCTCAAGGTTTTCGTTTTTCTGTGAATTTGCCTGATGGTCCATCCCGTGGTTATGTTGCTGAAATTTTCGGTACTCATTTTCAACTTCCTGATCTGGGACCAATAGGTATCTTTTCTATTTTGCTCTAAAGAAATTAAAGTTGCCTGAAAATTCATGGCATACAAAATTAAAATTGAGTTGTTTGCATTTTAGGTGCTAATGGTCTTGCTGCGCCGAGGGATTTCCTTGTTCCTACTGCATGGTATGAAGATAAATCTTATCCTGGGTACACCATAGTGCAGAAGTTTGGTGGTGAACTCTTTTCTGCAGTACAAGATTTCTCTCCCTTCAATGTTGTTGCATGGCATGGTAATTATGTTCCATATAAGGTGGGTGGTTTTCTCTTCAACATTGTTTCAAGCAAATGACCTATGATTACAAATTTACAATCATCATCAATCATCATATTATTTTCAGTTTATTAGGGGAGGGGTATAATTTCTGTGAAAAAAAAAAGATGATGCATCTTAATTAATTTGGCAACCCTTTGTTGCTTGCAGTATGATTTAAGCAAATTCTGCCCTTATAATACAGTTTTGTTCGATCATAGCGATCCATCAATCAATACTGGTATGCATTTTTAAAAATGAAAATTTCCTTAACCTGTCTCCCTCCATTTATTTTGTTCATGGAAAATATTTTCTGTCATTTCTTTTTTAATTTTTGTGCTTATGTGCAGTGTTGACAGCACCAACTGATAAACCTGGAGTGGCATTGCTTGATTTTGTCATTTTCCCACCCAGATGGCTGGTGGCTGAGCACACTTTCCGGCCCCCATATTATCATCGCAATTGCATGAGTGAATTTATGGGCCTCATTCATGGTGGTTATGAGGTATATTATGAGTCTGATTAGATATAAGCTTAGAAGAACTTTTGAAAACTTTTCTACTGCAAATAAAGTGTTTCTTTTAATTTTGTATATAAACAGGCTCTATATCAAATTTTGACTTTTAATCACTGTTTGTTGAAAGCACTGAATGGTTGGCGACTTAATTAACGGTAGTTTGTAACTGTATGGAAAAGAGGACCAGTTTTGGGTCAGTTGAGGCAGAATTTGGTCTTTCTCTAGTATGTGCCTATCAAATTTGTTAACTTTTTCAGGCCAAGGCTGACGGATTTCTTCCCGGTGGTGCAAGTCTCCATAACTGTATGACTCCCCATGGTCCTGATACCAAGTCATATGAGGTATGCTTCTTTTTTTTTTTCCCCACAATCATGTAGATAGATATTAAGATCTCAACTACAAAGAGTAAACCTCCATTCTACTCCTAGAGTTTTTAATCGATTATATACATGTGCAGCACTGGCATTGCACTCTCTAATATACCCCCTGCTAACATAATGATACGTTGCACTCTCTAATATACCCCCTGCTAACATAATGATTGCACTCTCTAATATACTGCTCTTATCATACTTTCGATCAGTTTTTGTTGATTTGGTTCAAGAGTTAAGCACTTAAGGTGCAGAGATATGAATTAATGGATTCAATCTTCTAGTAACACACGTGTTGGTACTTGGTTTACAGGCTACCATTGCACGAGGGAATGATGTCGGACCTCACAAGATCACTGACACAATGGCTTTTATGTTTGAATCTTGTTTGATACCCCGTATCACTCAATGGGCTCTAGAATCACCATTCTTGGATCCTGATTATTACCAGTGTTGGATTGGCCTCAGATCTCATTTTACTGTTACCGAGACATCTGAAATCACGACCTTGCAGAATGGACAGTGAGTATGGTGTATTTAGGCCCCCAACGTTGTCGATGTTGTTGTCCATAAAAATAAGTATAATTAGAAAATTGTAATATAGGTGTTAAAAGTGTGCTTAACCACAAATGAGGGCATAGTTCAGTTGGTTAAGTAAGATGTTTGAGTATTATAAAGAGACTGTTTATATACAAGTTATAAATATTTTTTTAAAGCTTTTTCTATTAAAAATAGAGTTATTTGTGATAGAAAAGTTCTAAAAAAAAAAAAAAACATTTATGTGCTTGTATTTAATCAATCTCAAATCCTTTTAATATTGAGTTCAATTCCACGAGGAAAAAAACTCATCCACAATTGGTGGCAATATAAGCGGTTTCAGGCGAGTTTTATTTGCAATATGCAAATGACTAAAACTTTTGAGTTATATCCTCCTTTTTTTTTATCTTTTTCTTTTATTGATAAACGTTAATAGTTAATTAGTATGTTATGTTGTTTAGGAGGATTTGAATGTCCTTTCTCCTAAATCAACCCATCATCTAATCACTCTTCATCACATTCTATCTTAAATAGGTCTATCATAATCATCATTTATCCCCTATTTAAGTGAATAGATAATGTGCTAATGCTCTAGATTTAAGAATGAACTATATGTGACGGATTTGATCTGAGTGAAAGATTTGTGCACTTTTGTTTAAGATATATTTGGAGATAGTTTTTTATTTTGTTTTATTTTTAATTTTAATTAAGACAAGATTATAATGTTTACAAAAACAAATAAAAGTTTAAGGAATGACTTTTTTTAAGCATGTCACTTATTCTCATATCACATTATCATACTCATAGTCACAAGGTCACATATAAGAGATTTTTATCCTCATCATGCTCATAGAAACACATCACTTGCATTAACAAAATAATAAGACAATTCTCACACCATTAGCACCTTCAAACATAGCTTAAAAACTTATCTATTTTCAAAATTATCTGTTCCTCATAGGGTTTCCCAAAGGAACCCACAAAGCACCCTAATTCATATCAAAACTTATCTATTTTTTAAATTAAGCACATGTTCACACTCAGCAAACGTCAAGGAATACAATAGAAAACTCAAATATCAAAACAGAAAACATTCATATTTTGTCCGTTTCTAATAGGGTGGTTTACCGTAGGAACCCATAGAGCACTCTATTCCATATCAAAACATATTCAATCTTAAAATTAGACATAGATTCATGTTTAGTAATCATTAGGGAACACAAAAGAAAACTCCGAAGCCGAAACAGAAAACATTCAAAATTTGTCGGTTGCTTACAAGGTTTTCCTTAGAAACCCATATAGTACTCTAATCCATATCAAAAATTATCTATTCTTGAAATTGAACATATATTCACACTTCGAATCACACAAGGAACGCAAAAGAACAATTAGAAAGAAACACTTCATCTAATTACGATTCTATTTCTACCTCACACTCGGGGAAATTACAATTTTGCTTAGAGCCAAGTTCAACTCGAGCTCCTATTCTCGCCCATGCCCGGTGTTGAGAAATCTTGCCTGGTGCTAAGGCCTGACAAAGACCCCCTTTGTAACACTCCAATTTTTATAAATTATATTAATAATATGCTAGTATTTATTTTAATTTTTTAATGTTTATTAAAAATATTTTTAATATTATTTTGTTATTTGATATGAGCTTTATTTTTATACAAAAATATGTTATTTTTACCAAAAAGGATAAATATATTTTATATTATTTATCTATTTTATGTGAGATTTTTTTTAATATAAAGCATGATTTTTAATTAATCTTTGATTATTTGATGTAAAATAGGCTTTTATGAAATGTATTTTATTAAAGTTAAGCATATGTTATTTTGTATTAATTAAAAAGAGAAAGTGTATTTTGATTGTTTCTAATTATTTTATGAGAAGGGAAGGAAGGACGTAATGATCTTTTTGTAAATTATTATTATTATTTATTTTATTTTTTTAAGAGAGAGAAATTATCATAAGTTAAGGGAGTTGTCAGGAGTTTTATATTTCACATTTCTTACTCATTTCTTTGAAAACTCGAGAAAACCAGGAGGAGGAGATCACCAGAGAAACTGTACATACTTCATATTCTACTCATCCAGGTAAGGGGAGAGTTAGAAACCTCACTCAAGGGTGTGGCAATAATTGTTGGATAGTCGGATTGACCCCCAATCCCTTGCCTAATGGGGCATGCCCCGAGTTCGTGATTCATACACAGAGAAATAGACGAAGGTTGCCCCCTAAAGAGTCATGGATGATTTGATAATTTCAAAAAACCGTTCCACTTGCTTGGACGTCGATGTTTCGAACTAGGAGTGAAATCTTTATGAATTCTTGCTTTCGAAGGGAATACTCCAGCCACCTTTCGATTTCAACTCAGATAGACATTTTTATATATCCCTAACTTTTGTATAGGACATATCCTATCGGGATTTTGATTCTTTTTCTTTACCCTAATTTTTTCCTAGGACGCCCTTTACAGGTTTTCATCCTAGCGAGTCCTCATCATGCAATGCCTTTATTCTTCAATTGGGTTGTCTTGTAATTCCCTAGAAGCAAGGATTCATCTATTCTTGATCATTCCTCCTATCCCGACAATTGTCGTTTTCGCATGGAAAAGTCTCGGTGTTTGAATCGTCGATTTGGGCGTGTGATGCCCCCAATTACTGATAAGTGTTCCCCGATTTGATATGTCAGGTTCGCATATGATTACAGTAATTTCCATTATCTGGCTAACACGCACAGATTAGATTTTCCTTTTTATTCTTATTTATTATTTACAAGGAAGGCATGTTATCTATATGAAACGTAAACTAGGATGCAAAGAAACTTCAGAATTTCAACGAATATCATTCTCATTGATTTTTTTTAAAGAACATCTTTGCATACTATTATATGTGCCTTCCGTCTCTAATGCATGCATGCTAATGTATTATCCTAGGAGATGCATGATATAAAACTTTACACTGACAGTGTATAGGTGATTAACTCTTTTTTGAATCTATATTTATTAGAAATGTTTTTTTTTACCATTTTTTGTTTTATTTAAAAATTTAATTCTCAAACATTTTCAAAACATTTTGAAAATTTAATTCTTAAATATTTTAAAAAATCAGTCCTCAAAATCATTCAAAATTAATAAATAAATCATTAACTTGAACTATTAAGAGTGAGAAAGGGTGAAGGATTTGTGTAGTTTTCTTCATTTGGAAGTGGAGTTTTGGGAGAAAAAGGAAAGAAAAATTTGTTTCTTTTCTCTTTGAATCAAGAGAGTTGTATAATGTTTGTAAAAACCAATAAATATTAAGGTAATAAATTTTTGTTAATCTTTCATTTTACTTTTCTTTTTTATAAAAATAGAAAATGTTTATTATAAATATTTTATTACCATTTGTTCTTCTTTCAAAGTTTAAATATCAAAAATCATATAAAATCAAAGAACAAATCATCGATATTAGGAAGTTAAAAGGCAAAATATGGAGGAAAATGCATGCTTTATTAGTGTTTTTAAGGAAGATGTTAAGGAGTGTAGATACCTAATTTCGTCTGGACTTGTAAATAAAGAAATGAACTTCTATTATGAAGGAAAGGAGCTCCCAAAGCATGAAAACAACATGATATGACATCAGAAGGCCTAAAGCCCAACAGGTTTGATTTAGTAACCTAGAACGGGCCGTTCCAAAATTGGAACAGGCCGTTCCAAAATTGGAACAGGCCGTTCCAAAGCTGGAACAGGCTGTTCCAAACTACTAAAAGGCCTGAAAATCCTAGTTGAGAATGGGCCAGAATGAGCCGTTCCAGCATAGGTTATTATGAGTCAAGTTTAAATCTGGAACAGACCGTTTTGACACCAGAACGGGCCGTTCCAAATTCAAATTTAACTCATAATGAACTGATCCAGAACGGGCCATTCCGGTCAGTTCTTACGTCTATAAATAGTAGACTCGGGCACTGTTCCTGGGGTCAGAAAAATTCGTCTAAAAAGTCTCATATAATTCGAAATTTCTCTCTCTCCTCCTTCTTGTATTTCTTGAGATTTTGTGAGACATACTGTATTATGAAAGGCAGTCGAAAAGCGCCTAGAGATCCCCAAATTTGAAGATCTAATAAAGCTCGATTAAGAGGTATTTTAGCTAATATTCTTCTCTCTCCCTTACTTCCTTTACTTTAATAATACTGCTCTAAATAAATAATTATCATGTGTAATTTAAATTTCAAGCATGTAAATAACTATTAATAAAAAGGATCTAATATTTAATCCATTAATTCTTATCATGTTAGCTTTATCATAGAGTACCGATTTAGGGCGCTGTAGGGATGCTTAA